TGATGTTCAAAGGAAAGGCACGGATTGACAACCGCATACTACCACATGAGATGACTAAATATCACCCGGCTCTTCTTGTCTCCGCTGGCGGGAGCGCACATCCGAAAAGCTGGCTGAGCGAATGTTCCAAAGACACGGCCCAAAATGGCTGGCCAACCGCACATCTACATGGGCACATGGATGTACATGGGTTCATTCAAAAAGGTTGGATGCCATTGGGCACCACAAAAGACCCCCGTCCGGGGTACCTAAATAGAATGGGGGGGCTGAAGCCCCTTTTAAAATAAAAAAAATAAAAATAAAATGAAAATAAAATGGGTCAGACCCCTGCATTTTATTTTGTGGGTGCATTTTATTTTTTGAGGTGCCTAACCCATCAAGTTAACCGACAGAGATAGCATCATAGCCTTCCTTGGTCAACAAAAGACACACGGGCAGCTTACAGCAGCCAATGAGATTTCTTAAGTTTATTTATAGTTATTTGTATCTTTTCTAGAAACCGTCCAGATGTCAGAAGTGGAACCAATTATATATAAACAAAACTAAAATAGATCAACCAATCAAATAAGGAAACAATGTAAAGGACTAAACAAGACTAAACAAGACTAAACATGGTTAAAACCAATCAAATAAGGAAACGATGTAAAGGACTAAACAAGACTAAACATGGTTAAAACCAATCAAATAAGGAAACAATGTAAAGACTAAACAAGACTAAACAAGACTAAACATGGTTAAAACCAATCAAATAAGGAAACAATGTAAAGGACTAAACAAGACTAAACAAGACTAAACATGGTTAAAACCAATCAAAGAAGGAAACAAGACAAAACAAGATCAACCCAAAAGAAAATGCCGGAGCCCGAGGTCCAACAGTTGCATAACGTAGGTCCACCAGTGGCCAGGTGGAGGGTGCCGACGTCATTTTCTTTTTGTACCTGTCCATTGTATTTTGCTTGGGTTTTCCTATCTTACCTTATGCCCTCTCATTTTATTGGCATTTTCTCCTTAGGCCCCTGCATTTTATTTTATTTTTTTAGGTGCCTCACCCCCCCCCTGGCAACAGACGAGGGTACAAAAGTATGGCAATTTGAATAGGGAAGTTCTGATGGCACATGATTTTCTAGAGTCGAAGAGATTTTGGGGCCTATACACCATATTTGCAAGCAAATGCACATCCTGAGAAACCATTGATGTTAAGTAGGATCTCCTACGCATGTATATGTATATTATATAATTTGATGGGTCCAAGTTCTGCACAAGACCAAAATGGCCTCTTCATCAAGTAGAAAGAGAGGGACATCAAATACCATATGCAGCCACCAGGTCTTAAGTTTCAATCGGATCGGAAACGGAAGGACTGGGACCAATACTGGGACCCATATCACTAAACATGTATTCCAGGAAACAAAATGCAGAGCGATGCCAGAAAGAAGATGAAAGAAGCGGGAAGGGGACCACAGAATCATTCAATGTGAAATAGTAAAATAATGTTAAATCCATACTCCATAATATATATATATATATAGGTATATATATACATACACGTTTATAATATATATATGTGCGTGTGTGTGCGTGTGATATTTAGATAGTTAGACAACCTGTCGATACTCAGATTACTGGTACAGTGAATTGTTGGTTTGCTTGTTAGCTGCAAAGCCTTGAGACAAACAGGCTATCAGGTTAGGGCTCAATGATATCTAATAATCACACTGTCAGTACTAGCATCTTGTTTGGCACTTTCCTGCAGTAAATGACGTTTGTACACTGCATAGCTGGAATCCATCCATGAACGTTTCCCATTGATGTTGTGCATGTGGCGTTTGGATCACAGCAGAGGGTCTTCGGCCACTGCATATGCGGGACACGGCGTTTGGACCTTGCAAGATCTTTTTGCTGTTTGAGGAAATTGAGGAGGAGTAAATTTCTGGTGGGCGTTTTAATCTCTATCTTCCATTACTGTAGGGTAGCCCCAAAAAATTGAAATGCAAGAAAAATGAAAGCATGCTTGGAATGGGACGGTGTGCAGCCGTGTGCCATTCCAAAGAATGGAGAAGTTACTGTACGGCTGCAAACAATCACTGTGTATAGGGGAAGTCTGCAGCAACAAACAGGTTTTACCATCCCATAAGCAAAGTTCTTGGCAAAAAACAAGAGTTTTTTTTTTGGAACTGGTTGGTTGTAACTAAAGGCGAGGATACCCTCATTTCTAGTAGCCAATATCCATGATCAAAAACACTGAAGCAAGCGGTGCTTCGACGACGCCACTTGCCCCGACTATTTGCTTGTAAACAACTGGCATTGAGCAAGTGTTACCACTGTAGTACTCCCGTGCATAGTGGGATGAATGTAAGAACATCACGGCCAGATTCCCAAGAATCAAGATCCTGATAAAGCTTTTTTTTTGGGCAGAGTTTTAGACTGATCAATGCTGCAAATTTTATCAGGTTGGTATATTGGATTGGGTCTCCCCAATGCAAGAAGCTGGAATTTTGAAGTGGACCAAAACATTGTATATACTTGCTGCTTCCTGAAGCTCGACTTGACACACTGATCTTCTCGATCTTTGATTCAGTACTCCAGGATGGACGCCAATTGGTTGATAGGCAGAATATGGAATCACACCAATCGTGGAATTGCAGTAGGGGGTCTCTATTAAGATATACTCAGTATAATATATATATATATTAGATTCATGCATTTATATGATATGTACACATATAAATATATATATATTCAGTTTATTAGTATATAGATGTAACATATACTTATGTATAAATAGTTTGATCGATGCTACGCGGGAGGGTTCCAGACCGGGTGCCTCGTACTGACCGGACCCGGAGAGGACTCGCTTTCCGTTTGAAGGAATGGCTTCAGAACGAGCAACGTCCTCTCGGTGAGAAGTTGCTGGATTATCTTCAACATATCGGGGGGACCGGTACCTTGTCTCTATATATATAGTATAATGTATGTATGTATGTATGTATGTATATATAGTATATGTATGTAATTATGTAATGGAATGTAATGTGATGTGATGTGATGTAATGTAATGTATATGTATATGCATATGTATATGTATATGTATATGTATATGTGTATGTATATGTATATGTATATGTATATATATTTCATATTCATATACATATATTTAGGTAAATTATAACAACCTCACTACGACCGCCGTAATCATGGTTAGTAAGGGATACAGAATCATTCCAAATTGCCTTAATTCAGGTTAGTGACATATTGATATTTAGCCATATTTATGTATATATGTATATATATATTATACACGCTACATCTCGCATAAACTCTTGAGCGCATGAACAAGATAGCTCAAAATCATGTTCTCAACTCTGTGAATCCATGGGTATCCGGTTGGCTACTTCCTATGCAGGAGTTTCCTGAAATGGGGGTACCCCAAGATCGTCCATTCCAAATAGGATTTTCATGGATTTTCTATTTTAACCCAACCATTTTGGGGTACCTCCATTTATGGAAACCAATGGAAATCCCCCATATTTAGCATTTGGCTCTTGTTTTTGAAGCTCCAAAACCCGGGAAAATCCAGCAATCACTTCTCGCCAAGTTGGGGCTTCGAATCGGATTTCTAGTTATGGTTTTGAGCGCTGGAAAATTGGCGACGTCGATGGACCATGGCAGCGATATGGGAGTCGGGACTAGTGTACACTACTGTAGTGGAAGGTTAGGTCAGTAGGTTTTTTCTTGAGTCATAGATATGGAGGAATTGAGTATCCCACAATGCTTTTGTCCGAGGTGATATTTGGATTATGCGTCCCACCAAACTATTTGATTAGCCCACCATTTTTTAGTGCATCTGATGTTTCAGCAGAGGTTATACAATATTTTTGCTCGCAGACATGCACATTTCAGAATCACCGAATTTGAAGGTTAGTGGGAACTGGGATCAATCACTTGTGCATCGGAGGCCCCATGGGAAGGAATACCAAAACCAGTTTTGGCCTTTCAGAGCAACCCCCAAAAAGGTGAAGCCTAGTACTTTCCTAGGATCTTACTTGATGTCAAATAAGCAATGTTGAAAACTACTTCCGTTGGCACCTGAACTGGCAGGACATGACCCTCCCCGACTCAGGGTGGCACAGGCCCAGCTGCAAGGGGAAAAAAGTGCAGGGTTGGCGTTGGCGTTTCATCCGCACAGCACTGAAGCAGTCAAGTTTTTTGCTACAAATGATACAACATGCTATAAAGATGCGGGGCGAAGTTGCCAATTCAGCCCAGTTAAATGGGGAAAGTGCCTTTTAATTGCCTTGGTTAAACCCCGCCTCGAAAAACAGATGGACCATAGTACCACTTGTGAATAATTCAGTCTCCCAGCTGGTAAAGGCGCCATGGCACAGTTGCGAAACTTAAACTCTGCAGTTGCACATGGCTAAAAACTTCAGGGTCATGTCATCATTTATGGTTTCTTTTTTGTGACCCTATTCATATACTTATCATGTGGTTCCTTTTTTGAGACAATATGAATAATACTTGCACTCAAATCCATGGCGATTGGAATGTGTGTTCTTCTTCAGTGAGGTGTTTCTTTTGTAGCCTTCCAGCTTTACTTTGTTTTTTCCACCAGTTTTATCAGTTCATGGTTTCTTGCAATTAATCCCATCACCCTAACATTAAACACCCCAATTGCATGGTCCCAATTCTGTGGAAATTCCCTACATCCACCATGGTTTCGAAGGCGGCGTTTACTATTAGGGGGAAGGGATTCTTTGACCAAAGAAATTTACCCATTTGGTCCGGTCGTCTACCCATCCACCATGAATCATTCTTGGTAGCCTTGGTGCATTGAATCGCCGGCTCAGTCAACAAACATTGAATGTTTGGTTGATTTTGGTATAATGCTAATGTCACAATTTGGAACAATACATATACATAATACATTATTATAGTTTTTATATGTATATTACATATATACTTATATAATCTAATTATATAATATAAATTTAATGGAACTATATATGGAAGAATACTGGCGCCATGGCCGTGGTTGATGTGTTGATCTGGCGACGAGCGGCTGCCCCGGGGGGACAGAGACCTACACCCGAGCCTTGGTGACGCCGTCGGGGGGTTCACTACAATTTGGAGCCCCCCAGTTATAAGTTGGTTTAACTATAGTTATATCTACCATAGACTATAGCCATTGGAGTTATTAACAAACTTAGCCATCTAGCGGGCCCCACTTTGTATGATACTTATAAGTATAGTTTATACACTATAGATGTTCATACTTATAACATCTTTTAACTATAGTTTATATAAATATAGGCTTTAGAAACCAAGAAACTTAACTGGGGACACAGCCTAATGACATGTGATTACCACAGTGAGAGTTATACATGCAAATAGTGGGATAACAGATAAGCAACTCGGAGGAACTGCGATCACCTTATGCATCAGGATCCTCAAAGTAGTCATAAAAAGGGTTGCAGGATACTTCAAAACCCGTAAATTCATGTCAATTTCTCCGCAAGACACGGTTTTTCGGTGTTTTTGCCTCCCTCCCTCCCTCTCTCGCTCTCTCTCTCTCTCTCTCTTCCCTTTCTCTCTCGACATGTGTTTCTTTGTCTAGTTCCATTTCGATATGGAGGTTTCCATAAATGGGGGTACCCCTATTTCAGGAAACCTCCATATTCTGCGGAAGTGCTGCCAAGACCACCAGAGCAGACGAACATCCACCGAAGTGACCCATCCCCAAAAACCGCCGAGTGCGACTTCGCGTCACCGAAGGGATCTATGAAAATAGCGCTAAACATGAATGATCGTTAGGAAGGGGAAGCGTCCCATTCCGATTTTGGAATGTCTTCTATTTTTGTTGGGTAATTTAATTGTCGAACATATGTAATTACTATATAATATTGATATAACAAGATTTTGGTAACCCAACATAAAAGATCTTAAAAGGTAGAAAAGCTTCAATGTAGCCCTATTTCAATGTGATGTTTGCCAACTTCTATCTTCTGGTGCTTTAAACTATCATTGTTTATTTGCTGATCTTCCCCTAGCTGACTACCGGAGGAGTTGTTCCAGCCAGTGGTGCCACTGAGCTTCGCTCAATGTGGTGGTTCTCTGCTGGCCTTCGTGACAGTGGACAACAAGCTGCATGGCGAATCGTGGTGGGCGAGTGGTCACTATTTTATGTAAATCATAGAACTTATCATGTAAGTGTATATATATATAATATATATATATGGGTTTCCTAAATTGGAGGTACCCCAAAATGGATGGTTTATAAGGGAAAATCCTGTTAAGATGGGTGGTTTAGAGGTACCCCCATTTCAGGAAACCTGTACTGTATATCTATATATATATACACATGTGTGTGTGCGAACCAGATCAACCAGCTATTCGCGCCATGTGTTCCTTCCCTGTACGAAGGCGACTCAGGAAAACAGGCGACGGCAAGATCTACATCCATCATCATCTAACAAAAAACCTAAGCAGTGTGTGTGTGTGTATGGGGTGAATGAGCCCTCAAATCTTTCTTAGGGGTGTCACCGACCTGAAAAAGGATTATCCCATGATATGTCCATTATATTCCCAGGAATCATTGATTTTATACCACCCATTCTGTCGGTTGGATCACCATTTATGCCTATATCTATAGGGTTGGTTGAACCCCTATGAGCCCTACTTGGGGGCGCAGTTCAGATAAGTTGGGATATGGGGCTCCTATGACTATAGTTATAAAACTATCTATCCACTTAAACACTGGAACTGCACTTCCAAGCAAATCTCATGAACTATGGTTACAAGCACCATAAACCATACTCATTGGATTTATGTTCACCAACTAAGCTATCGTTTTGGGAGCCTCACTTTGGCGGAGACTGTCGCCGCCAAGGCTCTACCTAATGGACAGCACGTCCACTTCAAGCCCTCGGTTGGTGGAGGGCTTGGCTGAACATGCGGTGATTCAGGTGGGACCCAAGGACCCAGAGAAATTCATTTGGGGATATAATGGAATACCATTTTGTATCCAACTACATCCAACTATATATATATATATATTACTAACCTACTGTATATTGAGCCAGCTATACATATATATTGGAATATGCGGGGGGAATATAACCAACTATATAAGAATACAATGGGCATGCACGGACGGGGGATATCATGGAAAGGGAATACTGTATACAGAACTAATATGCCTCCAAAAAGATGTCGAAAAAGTGTTTCCAGGATGCAAAAGATGATGTTTCCTCCACCATTTCCAGGTGTCCAAGCTATTTTCGGCATCTATTTGGTGGTTGCTATATAGCATGTATTATCCATTAATCAATCATTTCTAACCGGGGATGTTCTTCATTTTATTCCGCTATAATGATCTATAATGTGGTTACAATACAATATATTGCTTGCTTTCTAACTGGGATGCATATCTGGAGGGTTGGGAAAAAATGGGACGTCCACAGATTAGTTGTCCATTTTGCGGACTTGCATCCTATAATTGAATACAGAAAAAGGGCGCCCTTGATGTGTGTGCGACAGGGGTGCGCCCTTGGGAAAGTTGGTACAAGCACTTGAATATCAGGCAAGCACTGGGAAAGTTGTCAGTTTCAATAATCCATCCACCCAGTCTTACATACCCACCGTCAAAATCTTGGTTTGATATTCGCATGTATGGTCTCTAATGATTGGATTCTACTGGTGCATGTTGTTTTTTTTGATATTGAGGGGCAGGATAACTTTTATTGATGCTAGGTGCACCTCAAAAAGGTTTGTGGACGGCTTGGACCCTGTTGCAGGTGGCTTGTAGTCCTCAAGGTTTTCTGGTGGCCATCACCGCTGCGGGGGCTGCCTATCAAGTGACTTGGTCTCCTTAGAATGGCGTAAGATGGGGTGACATGTTCAAGATCTATACAAGTATAGCCTTGTAGCCAGCTATGTTTAAAATTTAACTGGCTTATCTAATCATGTGCAATCAACTAGTTACACGCGTTATAATCCCGTTTATAAGTGTTAAGGGCCATAACTGTAGACCTTGTATTTTGACTGCCCTGACCTGCTATGGTGTTTCCAGAGGATATGTGAGCCATTTGGGGATCTAGGGGTAACCATCCCCAATTTGGCCAAGCAACCTCACTGGCTAACCAAGCCCGGTTGAAACCATGTTTTCCTTCTAAAATGATCAAAAAAAAAAAGGCGGCAAATTCTGCAATCATCCGAAAAACTCATCAATAAAGTAGAGACAAGCTTGTTGCTGGTTTGGAACATTTTTATTTTTCCATATATTGGGATTTTCATCATCCCAACTGACTAATATTTTTCAGAGGGGTAGGTATACCACCAACCAGCAAGACTCATTTGCCCAGAATGGCCCTGAAGGAAATCCCAATTCAATATGGGCCCTTGAGGTGAGCTATATCGGACCTGGATATTCCAAATTATTCAATATGGGGAAACAATGCATTATATGTATCTATGAAAATACACATATGTATATAATATTTTTGTAACATCCCTTCAATAATTGTACCTTTTCTTTATCGAATATTATATATGTATGTGTATACATACATATCAATATATCTATATCCATGTATACATATGTACATATACATATATTAGTATATATATATATATATATGCACCTACATATTATGGGTTGATACCAGCCACATCCTCTTCGCTCCAGGTGACCAGCCCAGCAGGTCTCCAGGAAAGGGCCGAGGCAGGAGATCCCAAGGCCATGGTGTTGCTGAGCAGCGGCATGTTGGCCACCTTCGGACGTGCCTTGGATCTGGGTAAAACATATGCCATAAACCATCCATTTTATAGCAGCTATGGTGATTTGGATGATGGTTTATTTTTTGTTTTATCCACATTGGCGTTACCCTCTTTTTTCGGTGGTTTATTTCAACTTGGGTTTGTTGAAGGTGATGCCTTAGTGATAAGAGTCTTTGTCTGCTTTTTCTCAGCTTCTTGGGGTTTGGTTAATAGGTGAACCTGTGATTTTCCCCGGAGATCCAGTACGGAATATCCAGGGGTCCTGCAGCAAATCCAAGACCATACAAGTATTTATGGTCATTAACAAGTATGCTGATCAATAGTATTACATAGTATTACAAATTACTAGTGGCTATGACTGTTGCCAACTATGATTGTTGACCACTTGGATTATATGGTCATCAAAAATCTATGATTGCTATCGTTAGTAACAATTTACCAAGTGGGATGATCCTCCAAGTCATGTTCCTTTGCCCGGTGATGCTCGGTGTAGGGGCTTGCAACGTGCGGATTGACTCTGCCTTCATGCAGCTGAAAATGCTGGGTGAATAGTTGGTGAATGAAGTTTAGATTATATATATACATACATGTGTATGTATATATATATATATATTGTCGCAGAGAGACTAACCATAATTTTGGAGTCATATGGAAGGTTCAGCTGCAAACAATCTCTGTGAAGCTATTGAAAGTCTTTTTTTCCAACTGTCATGAGCGTTGAGCCCCCCGGGCCTAGGCCTCCAGGAGCTACCCCTCCCCGTCTCCGTAGTCTCCTGCGCCTGCGGTGCGCAGCACATGCTGCTGCTCAGCGGCGAGGGCTTGGTCTTCGCGCAGGGCACGGGGCCGCAGCTGGGGCTGGGGGAAGTGCAGCAGGCCACCAGCCCAGCGCCTCGGCGTCAGGTTAACCCAAAAATAGTGGCCATAAACCGTTTACCCGGGAGGTGCCAATTTTTGATAGTAATTAATTACAGTAAAAGACATTCTTAGAGGGTACCCCACTCCCAATATCCCCAATCAATAGTCATGGTTTGTGAATTCCGGCTTGACATTCGTGGCAGACTCATGCGCTTACATAGGAATTGGGGCCGTGGGTAGAGCATGAGGGTCCACCCCCAAAGTGACCATAAACGGATAGAAATGAATGGTATAAACATGTACAAACTATTATAACATATGGGTGTATTTTTCCTTTCGAACATGAACTCTATAGCCAAAAACTCTGTGGCCCATCTAAGTAATGATACTCAGGAGTAGTTTCCAATATGTTCTAATCAAAATCTGCAAGTTCCCAGTTTAGATGGTTAAAACCTAATATTAAATTAAACTACACCTGTTCACTGCTGTTGTTTCGTTCATTAAATCACCATCACCGTAGATGCTCTCTACTTTTATATCATTTTATATCCAGTTGTAAAGCTGTTATTCCGTCTTTGGTTCCTGCTACTTTAAAATCCATATGGCCCTGCGTTTTTTCTTCAATATATATATATACATATATAGATATATATATATATCAGATATTATTTTTCTACTACTAGACCAAAAATTGTTTGCATCACCCCACTTTGACCTTTATGGTGTGTTTTCAAACATATTTGGTGGACCATAAAATCTATAAAACAGTGAATAATTCCAGCCATATTTGGCAAGCCCTTTTGCTACGCCCAGGTGTGCATTCAGGCTTTGTCCCACGTGCAAGTGAGCCACATTGCTGCGGGGACCAAGCATAGCTTGGCGGCGCCTCGGAACTGGGAATGGCCTTGTGTTGGTGAAGGTAACTCCTTGGTAACGTTCGGCTTTATGATATATTGAACCACTAGTTCATGGATGTTAATGGGTAAGGGTTTATGTTAAATTATATTATATATAATGTGTATATATATATATTTATTTGAATATATATATATATTTGAATATTGAACCATTTGTTCATGGATGTTAACGGGTATTGAGCCAGCTGTAAGCGGCACCAGCTTGTGTTAAAATGTGCAATGCAAATGCACCAGCTTGGATGGGGATGGTATTTACGTTATGTAACATATAACTATAACATCATATAGCCAGTTCCGGTAGAATGGGGCATGGTTGATGATTGTTTGCAAAAGTGCCGAAATCCAGCTATGACCACTGTAACTTAGCCAGCGTCAACTTTTATAGCTTCGAAATTCGAAATCACTTGAAGGCACTCAAACATGTGTGATGATCTGATGATGTGATATCGATAATTAGATAGATAGATAGATAGATAAATAGATAGATAGATAGATAGATCGATAGATAGATAGATACATAGATAGATAAATAGATAGATAGATAGATACATAGATAGATAGATAGATAGATAGATAGATACATAGATAGATAAATAGATAGATAGATAGATACGATAGATAGATACTGTAGATAGATAGATAGATAGATAGATAGATAGATACTGTAGATAGATAGATAGATAGATAGATAGATACTGTAGATAGATAGATAGATAGATAGATAGATAGATAGTGTAGATAGATAGATAGATAGATAGGTAGGTAGCTGGATAGATAGATAAGATAAGATAAGATAAGATTGGATTGGATTAGATTAGATAGATAGATAGATAGAGAGATAGAGAGATAGAGAGATAGATAGAGAGAGAGAATCCTTACAATTCTTCAAAATTCCTTAAAAGTCCTTTAAAAAAAAGCCCTTAAACAAAATCATTGAAATTCACTTAAAATTCATTAAGATTCTTGATTTTTTTTACTTTCCAAACCCTTTTTGGCGCTCGTGGAGGTCACCAGCTTCGGCAATCTCTTCAGCTGGGGGCAAAATCACCAGGGACAGCTGGGCGATGGTAGCGTGATGCCCCGTGATACACCTGGTCTGCTGGGAGAAGTGCTGGGCGCCTGGGGCCAGCATAACGACTTATGTGGTGACCCCCTGGAATTCATGGTTAGAATTGAGGTGATTGTAGCAATAGTTGGCCTTATTTCAGGTGAGTGAATTGTTCTTTACCCGGATGAATGGTTCTTTTTTGATCTTTTTTTGATTTTTTTTGTTGCCGCTATAGCCTCAAAATAGCTATTTGGCAGGAATATCTTGGGTGAAAAAATCGGGATGAAATCACTGGGAATGGTGCCGACAGAAATCAGATGGGCACCAATAAGAAAGCTGGACGTGCCGAGCATCAACATTCAAGGAAAGATGTTTGGATGATTTGGGGATTCAGACATGTTTTTTTCTCAAAGATTGGACGGTTTCGTGCAAAACTTCGTGAAGCTGAATAAACTTGGTGTGCTCGGATAAGGTCAATTGGGACCATGCCTTCAAACCTTTCCATGGTTTGCCCCACAGCAATCCACTTGCCAATGGTTTTCCACACCATATGCCATTCCACCATTCCTTTTGGAATCGTTCCAATGTTTTTTCCAATTTTTCCCATGGTTTTCCCAAAATTATCCCATGGTTTTCCCCATTTTTCCCATGGTTTTCCCCATGGGGAACCCCCAAAAATTTCGGTTTCTGAAAGCCACCGAGGCGCCGTGTGCGCCGCTGCTCAGCAGGCCTCCGCGGCCATTGCCAAAGATGGGCAGATCTTCGCGTGGGGCTTCGCAGGGCAGGCGCGGCGAAAAACACACTCTGATAAACTAACATTTTGCTATGGAAAATAACCAACAAATATAGGATTTTCCTGTAAATTTTCCTTAAACCAATTCTATGACTCTGATAAACATACAAAAAACGAACTGGAAAATCCACCAAATTTTCCATGTTTTTATCCACTATTTCGACTGGGCCATTTTCAATAGCAAACTGTTGACATAACCAGAGGGTATGGGGAGTTCAGCATCAAATATCTGGGAGATACCACCTTTCCCATGATAGCATCTCAAAGGGAATCAAGATATGAAATGATATGAAATAATCCAGTGGCAAAATGAACATCAAATGGTGACATAATGATCTCACATGGGCTTGATTGAAAATAGAAGAAAATAAGGCGTATCCTTCAAAGGATTTTTTTGAGGGATAAAGATAATCATCCGTTGGAGTTGGAGATGCCCTTGAACAGATAATAGCATAGTTACTGTAAATATATTTCAAGCCACTGACCGGATTGGATGCTCCCTTAGAAACACCATTTTGTGGCCATTGAAGAATGGGGAATGCATAAGACAATATTCTACATATATGATAAACACATGGTATCTGGGGCATATAACATACAGCCCCAAATTTCTTACACAGAGACGTAATCATATGGCGCCGAAAGGCGTTTTGCTACTAGCTACTAGATATCAGATATGACCCTTTTTGAGTTAGATGATCAGATTAGGGGATGCAAGATCAACGCAGAACGCTGTTTTCATAGGAAACCTGTCGGACATGATAGAACTGTAAGAACTGAGAGGTGACCCATAGAACATGCAAGAGCTAGGAGACTAGGAAGTAGTAGTTGGGGTTATGGAACCGTTTTGGTTGTTTGTTTCCTGTACTGTAGACTGTTTGGCATGATTACAACCAAGAGTATCCTTGTGCTAGTGATATAACTTATACTTATAGTTGCTTAAAATATATTCCAATTTGAACTACTTTTGATATATCCAAACCCTTTTGCCATCACCATATCACCAACTTTCTTCCTTGTGCTTGTAGATTTCGTCAAGCCAAGGACAGCTGCCCCAGCAGCAACAGTTGCAGTCCTGGATGGGTGTGGGTCAAACCACCCAATATAACCAATTTACCCGTTGGAAGCAACAACATAATATCTGTAGAAACTGGTAGAAACCTAACATTTTCCACTCAGATCATATTAGATCCTTGTCTTGCATATGTAGCTTGAATCATGTAGACATTTTTCGCTCATAATCTAGCCTCTAGTATTCAAACTTGGCTGGAAAATCCCCGCGCTAAATGGATGGTTAATGGGAAAATCCACTAAAAAAAAAAATTATTGGGTATTTCCCATTATTTCCCATTAAACCTTCATTGACAAATGGTCCACTGGGTGGGTTTTCCGTTACCATGTTTGATTACCGGTAAAATTCCCCGGTCCGCGGCTCCAGATGCTGCCCCGCGCCATGTCCCTTGGTCGAAGGGCCAAGGCGCTCGCCCTGACCGAGGAGCGTTGGCATTAAAAAAAAAGATCGAAAAGGGTACCCTCTGGTAATGACTAACATAGCTATTGAAAATGGCCATTTATAGTGAGTTTTCCCATTAAAAATGATGATTTTCCATAGTTATGTTAGTTTACCAGAGGGTCAATTTATGGAAGGTAGCTATAGGTATTGAAATTTGGAACAGATATGTCTAGTTACCTCAAATTTCGAAACATCCCTATGTATTATATACCTATGGCACCCTGAACCCACTTTTTTGGGGTTGAAATCGAAAAAACTTGTTTTTTTTTCAAGATTTCCAGAAAAAAAAACTTGTATTTTTGGAAAACATTGTTTTCTAAGTTTCTACCCGTAATTTGCCCGTATTTTACCCATAATATCCCGTAATTTGTAGTAATTTTCCGTAGCCAAATGCCTTGCTTAAAAAAAACGGGTTATTTTGAAAAAAACATGTTTTTCTGGCAACCCCAAAAAACAGTGGATTTTGGAGGCTGTAGGTTATATATATATATATACGGTTGTTGTAGGTAGGTTTACTTTTCCGGCAAATTTTGGGTGTCTTCACAAGAACAGGCCTTGATGGGTGTCGCATGTTGAAGCCAAAAGATATGAGTGTTAAAATTCACTAAACCATAATTAAACCGATGAAAACTGATGTTCAAACAACAAGCAACATGTTTCACATATGATAGTGCTTTCAGCAACTGCATTTGTTTTCTCGCAAAAGCTTGGGAATTCCCCAGCAAACCATAGCAAACGATGATTTATAGTTCCAACCTCTGAATGGCGATAGATGGCGGTTTCTTAAAATGGGGGATCCCCAAAACCATTGGTTTCAATACTCAAATGGTGTAATTTTGCATATTTTGGGTATCCCACCATTTTAGGAAACCTATATTCTGTATATTAATATATTTATTTATTTATATGTATTTATTTATCCTCTCTTTTCAGGTTGATTGGGAAGGTCACCCTCCAAATGGATTGTAAAAAAATACCACTCAGCTTGGCATTTTCACCCATGATGTAAAAGGCTGGGGACTTCCCCGAGGGTGGCATGAGGATTGCTGGGAGATTTATCTATGGGGAAGTTTTTCAGACCGGGTCTCCTGCTGTGTTTCATGAGTGCCAAACAGGGGGATGGAAGATAGTTCACCACAGAGAAATCGCTGTGGACATTTCTCTCCAGGAGTTGCTGGTTTGCTGTTCCACCACGGGCGAGTTGATCTTCATGGAGCTAGTGAAAGAAGCTCGGCGAAACGGCAAAACCATGAAACGGCGGCTGACCGGAGATGGAGAATGAAACCGGTGGATGGTTTCAAACTGTGGTTTCCTAAAATGATGGGGTAGATCATTTAAGTATATAGCGAAACCCATGATTTTGAGCTATCTCCAGTTTAGGATACCTCCTTAACCGTGTTTGCATACTGCCTCTATCGGTTGACGATTCGTTCGGGGATTGTACTACGCAATATGTGGGGTGTTTTCATAATCCCTTATGTGACATATCACTGTGGTCTTTCTGTTTACGTCCCTGTTTGGGATGATGATTCCACACATTTAGTCGCCTGAAGTGGCCACAAACATACGAATGGATACGAATGGAAGATTCATGACGTGCCAGTCATGTCCCGAGTAGCTGGTCTATCAATATCTATCAATATCCATCATAGATTGCCGTGCATTGCATTACCATGGGTCTGTTTACCACCTAAGAATTGCTGAGCTTTGTGTGTCTGCGCAGTTGCCTGGAAAAGAGGGCCTGGAAAACAGGGAAATATCAATCCCTTGGCTTTGTGCCACGGTCACTGGCTTGCTTCAATCAATTCAATGCACGTAACTTCACGTAACTGTTTCTCCGAAACCTGTCAACCGCATTCGAATTCGCGTGTTCGGACACATGTTCAAAATTCAAACATTCAGTTGTTTTTTTCTTTGGGATTCTTTTCTACATGTTGGATGCCTTTGTTTGGGCTGTTTGGGAAGATAACGGATGAGAGTCATGTCGTTTCGCTAAGCGGAGCAAAAGGAAGCCCTTCTTCGCTTAGGATTTCCCTGGATTCTGCTAGCCATTTTCACATATACGAAGGTCATTGGGAAAACGGCCATCAGCTTTCCCCTGCCAAGGATGAGGCATGGATTGCACATGACAAAGTTCTTCATGTGACTCAGCTGTAAAAGCAGAAAATAAGACTGGAAGATGATGTTGGAATATTATGGTGGATATGTTTGGGTATTGTGTTTGATCATGACTAATCTGATTTCCTTATAACTTATAACTTATCACTCTCTCTCTATATATATATACAGTTTCCCAGCCTGGGGAGTTTGACTGCATGTCATGGGCGTTTGGAACGCCAAGGTCAAGGCCTCTATATAGCTCTTGGGTTATGATGGATGACCATAAACCATAAGAATTAACACATAAACCAAGGTTAATCATGGAATATATCTATTATGCTTTATGATGGTCAATGATAGTTTATGACCATGAACCATGGACCCTAGCATATGTCATTGCTCAGTCAAGGGAAGATTGAGCAGCCTACTTGTATTTTCCTGCAGGTTCCTTAGTGGCCACAAGCTTGATCCCTGCACATGGTACACCCTGTGTCACTGTGCCACAGGGTTTTGCAATTGGCACCCTGGTGGTACACTTACCGCCCCAGCTTCGGAGACTGACTAGATACAGCGGGCCTGTGTTCGTAGATGATCAATTACGATAGTTTAACAAAAACAGAGCGCACACACACACACACCTAAAAAAACATGATGTGCGCACTGCCACCAACAAGCCAGTGCTTGCATTCCAGTTTGTTCCCGCAGCTATTGTTTCAATTTTGTTAGTTGAAACATCACCATTTTACCCTCAAGTTTTAACCTTTTTGAATATCATACATGTATGAATTTTACATAAACTTAATATACAATATGCATACGCAATATTTATAGGATAATCATATTTGCTGTTTTGGAACGTTTCTATCCTCAACGCGCCTGGATCAACAGATCCAGCCTTTCACCTTGAGGTGTCCGCCTCAGATCACCATGTGGTGGCCCTTTGCGCGTCAACGCGTGCAGCGGGCGCCGAGCAAGGTGGACTTCATGGCAGCTGCCATCTACCCCTGTTGATTCATAGGGTTTTAAGCAGCAAAATATGGGGATAGAAGTGAATATATAACTCAGAATGGTTGATAAATGATGATTGATTAATAATAAGTTTGGGGGGAACATGCTATATTTGATATAAAAACGGGATTATCATGGATTATCATGGGAACATGCTATATTTGATATAAAAACGGGATTATCATGGATTATCATGGGTTCTCAGTTCTCATCATCCATTATTGGAGGCCCGTTTAAAGTGATCAGTATAAGGGAAGTGGGTACTAACATGCAGTTACCATTTTATCACCCATATACTTGGAATATTCACTGATGATGGGAATAGTTGCGGTTTTGATGGGAAAATCATCGAACTAAATGGGTGATAACCAGTGCCATGGTTTGATTATAGGAGGCACATATTCATGTATATATATATATACAGGTATAAATAAGATGTGGTGCATCTCCCCATGAAAAAAAACAAGTAAGTGCAGGGGGCTAGCACGTGATGTTTCAATTTTCCGCCATACGGGTTTCCAGGGATGGAACCCACAACAACATCACCCTAAACGATGAACAGAAATGCATGATTAATATTGACTAATCACATATTGATTACATATTAATTAATTCCATATTGATTTATTTCATATTGATTACATATTGATTCATTACATATTGATTAATTACATATTACATATTGATCCATTAAATATTGATTAATTACATATTGTTTCATATTGATCCATTAAATATTGATTAATTACATATTGATTACATATTTGTGATATTTTGTGATTTGTGGTTATCAAGGAGGCTCATCCAAAAAAATGGTTTCCTGAGACTTTGAACGTGCAGAGAATCAGTTGAGCTTGAATCTCTCCAGAGCCACTGCACCTCCCTGAGTTCATCAGCCTGCGGTCGGCACTTCGACCCTCGAGCCGTCAGACTCACGGGGTCCATTGAGCGAGTCGTGTCTTGGTATGACCACCAGGGTGCTGCAGATGTGGGATACAGAAAGATGAGATACATGGGCTACATGGGTCCAGATGGAGGTGTGGGGCACACACACGTCGCATGAGAGGGTGAGTTGATTGCTAGGAGACCAATGGGGCTTGATCCGGCGGTCACCCCTAAGAAGAATTGATGTCAAGACCAATATGTGTCTCGCAGGTCTTCCTGGAACAGCATAACTAGGCTATTATGAATAGTCACGCTATATACAGTGAGGCAGTATCAATAGGAATAGATGTTTTTCAGCACATATACCATACATTAATCAAACAGGGCGATAGATAATTCCTCCCAGCCAGCCACGTCTGATGACCAAAGGGTAGATGTGTTATTCCTTGTTTGTTGTTGTTGGGAGTTTGTTCCACCCTCTTCCAGGCAACTCTGGGCCGCCAAGGAGCGCCTGGAGCGTAGCCTTCAGGAGCCGCAGAGGTTTGGAAGTTTTGGTTTGGGACTACTCTCTGGTAATCAAACGCGACAATGGAAAAAACCGTTAGAAATGAAGGTTTCAGGGGCAAACATTTACTTTTCCAGCAAACCATGTTTGATTACTGGAGGTGTTTGGGACTTATTCGTGATACACCAAATAATAATGATGAATTAACCCTGGAAAAGAGGGGTGTAAGTTGGTGTTTCATGATATATATATATATATATATACACATGTATATATATACTGTGTGCGTGACCATTAAGCATGGGACTGTACCCTCCACCCAATTAACAGTTGGACGTTAAAACATTCAGTTGCTAGTCAGTTGTTAGTGGAAAATAACCTTTCCAACCCCGTATTTGGCAGTGTTTATGTTAATCTGGGGGAGCGCAACTATTTAAAATGGTTGCTTTAACCGTGAGAAAGAGGGATTTAACCAATACTATGGGGATTTAATGGGATTCAATGGGTGGGTATAATGGCATATAAATGGGTGATCAATGGGTGGGTATAATGGCATATAAATGGGTGATCAACGATCTAAAATTGGGATGTATAATGAGCATTAACAAAACATTTCAGCAACCGACCATTCCAGTTGATAGAATAGAGCTAAAGAGCAATGGGCACCATGGGCCTCCATATATTTCCTAAAGAATGGGAACCGAGGAGCTACAAAGAGTTTCCCAAGCAATGATGTTTAGAGTCTGTTTATATGATTTATATGTGTTATTTTTATGTTAACATCCACTACTTGAGATGATCATCCCCCTGTTTACTTGCATGTTGGTTTGGAAGTTTATTTGGATGTTTCTTCCAAAACAGCAAATCCTAAAACCCTAAGATCTAAACACACTGAAACCCCAAAACCTTAAACCCTAAATCAAAACCATAAATCCTGAATACCGAAAGTCAAAAACGCCCCTTTGTTTCGCCAGTGTTTTCAGCAATCCCCTGGTGACCTGTGCGATTGCACATGCCAAAAAATTGTCCCATCATGGAGATCTGACAAAAAGCTGTGCATCGAGTTTCTGTTACAACACCGCAGTGCCATTCAGACTTGACACTCCAAGGTTTCCACGAAATAAGTCAACAAATATGTAGGTTTCATATTTGTTTGTGTGTTTTCTCTTGGTGTTGTAAACTTTGGTGATGGACCAAGTCTGGAGGGCCAATTCGATGATCTTTTTGGAGTGGGACCTGTTTGCGGTCGCCGGGAGAATGTGTGTATTTTTTCAGGTTACCCTCTGGTAATTTAACATAGCTATTGAAAATCACAATTTTTAATGGGAAAATCCACTATAAATGGTCATTTTCAATAGCTATGTTAAATTACCAGAGGGTAGCGATTTGTTCAAAAAACTATTCTGATACTTGTTACACTCCAGTAATTCAACAAAACCACGAACATTTTTTGATGAGTAAATCATCGAACTAAGTGGGCCGGCTATCCCATAGGGGGTTGTGTTGAATATTTATGTGCATTCCTTATTTATGTTCCATTCAATTTTCTCCATTGTATCACCCTTGTTTCATCATTTTTGATGGTTATTATATATTATGTTTGATTCTTAAATCCCTGTTGTTTTTGGCCAAACATCTATTATATCATACAAGGCGGTGCCCCCTGCCCCCGTTTACGATATATGTATTATAAAACATATTATCATATGAGCGCAAAATGTAGGCATTGGAATTATATAAACGTTCACCATTTGATGGGACACAACATATAACCATAACTGATTACATCCCCATGATACACTTCTATATTACTTATACATCCCATGAAATATCACTATCCCATGATATATATATATATATAATATATACATATACACATCCAATATGTCTTATCGTGGTTTATGAACCCCATTGACTAGTTAGATATATCTACCATAAACCCAAGTTACTGGAGTTATAAACCAACTTAGCTAACTATGGGGCCCCAGGAGCTGCAAGCTGAGCACTTCCTGGAGCTTTGCGGCCTGCGATCCCAGGATCGGGGAGAGTTCAAGGGTGTAAAACGCCTCCGTTAAAGGAGGTTTAACCATCAAGAAATAGTGAGTTCAATGGCATTTCATGGCACTTAACGGCCTTTGCTGGGATTTGAGTGGATTTAATGGTACTTACTGGGAGTTGTTGGTGGATTTTAAACCAACATGGCTATGGAATTTCACCATTTCCAATAGGTAGATTACCTGTAAATGGTCCATTTTCATAGCTACGTTAAATTACCAGAGGACATTTAATGGGAATACCGCAATACCCATGGAAATTTAGCATTGCCTAGATGATCTACCATGATATGCCTGTGAAAACAGGTGATGTTTCAAGGCAAACTGTTAATTGCCAGAGGGTAATCGGATGATGATGGTGACATCCAGGAAAGCATGTCAATGCAACAAGGAATGGCTACTACATTGGATATGTAATTGATTGGATAGCAACCAGCCCAAGTTGCAGCATGAAGATGTAAAATACTCTTCGGTAATCAAAGATGGCAAAGGAACATTCAATGTAGTGCCCCCCCAGTTATAAGTTGGTTTATAAACCCCATTATATAACTATAGTTATATCTACCATAAACCATATTAACCAACTTAGCTATCTAGGGGGCCCCACTTTGTAGGCTATAGATGGAGGTTTCCATGATTGATTGTCCATTGCCATGTTTGACTACTAGAGAGTAAAGGTCTGGGGACATCACGGGAATACAATTGGGAACAAGCACATAGAAAACCAAAGCACTTTTGTCAATCCACCACAAGGGTCATAAATGGGGATATAGTTGGATTATGACCAACACACGGAATTTAGCCATTTGAAATGAGGATTCAACAGGTATCAAATGGGTGTTCTTTATATATATATATAAATAAATAAGAGTTGTTTATGGGGTCAACCAAGAAATGCAACAACAACTCATAATCATGGATATTTGATACAAAACAAGATAGAAACACGCAGGTAGAAGTCGGCCATGGGACGCTAGACTAAGCGGTAGGATGGACACCCTTTGCAGAAACTGGCAAAAAACCCTGTGCAATACCTGGGGTAAAATAACAGTTCTATGTGGAAAATCCATCATTTGTAGATCATTTTCCATGGATTTTCCATTCCTTTGTTAGTTTTACAGGAGGGTACCCTTTGGTAATTGGTAAACTAACATAATTATTGAAAATGGCCATTTATAGTGAGTTTTCCCATTAAAAACGGTGATTTTCCATAGTTATGTTGGTTTACAGGAGGGTATCATACGAAATCATATGATATAATGGGTATTTAGGTTGAAATCGCCTTAGTGCCCGTGGATCACGAACTCGTCATGGCCAACCGTCTCGGTTCATATTGTTTTTCACCATCATTTTGATGTCCTTCAATCATCTTTTGTGAGGTTCTTTGATGACATCTATGTGTAAAAAAAAGAAATTACTTTACTTCGTGTGATCCCCACCATGACATTTATACATTTTGTTACTGGCAAATCTTCTGGCATTCTATCTGACATATTTTCTGGCATTCGATCTGGCATTCTATCTGGCATATCTTCTGGCATTCTACCTGGCATATCTTCTGGCAGATGTTCTGGCATATCTTCTGGCAGATGTTCTGGCATATCTTCTGGCATATCTTCTGGCATATGTTCTGGCATATCTTCTGGCATTCCATCTGGCATTCTATCTGGCATATCTTCTGGCATATTATCTGGCAAATCTTCTGGCATTCCATCTGGCATTCTATCTAGTATATCTTCTGGCATATTATCTGGCAAATCTGCTGGCATTCTATCTGGCAAACATTCTGGCACTTTATCTGGCATATCTTCTGGCATTCTAGCTGACATTCTATCTGGCATTCTATCTGGCATTCTATCTGGCATATCTTCTAACATTCTATCTGGCATATCTTCTGGCACTCTATGTGGCATATCTTTTGGCGTGGATACTCGCGGTTGAGGTCCGGCAGGGAACACTGGGCGTGGATGGTCGTGGTTGAGGTCCGGCAGGGAACACTGGGCGTGGATACTCGCGGTTGAGGTCCGGCAGGGAACACTGGGCGTGGATGGTCGTGGTTGAGGTCCGGCAGGGAACACTGGGCGTGGATGGTCGTGGTTGAGGTCCGGCAGGGAACACTGGGCGTGGATGGTCGCGGTTGAGGTCCGGCAGGGAACACTGGGCGTGGATGGTCGTGGTTGAGGTCCGACAGCGAACACTGTGGATCGCGAGTCGCAGTTGAGCAGGAGGACGAGGACGACGAGGACGACGAGGAGGACGAGGAGGAGGAGGAGAGGAGGAGGACGAGGAGGAGGAGGAGGAGGAGGACGAGGAGGCAACTGACATAAAATCTAACAACCCTCACCTGGCAGGTGGGGAACAATGATTCAGCACCAAGCACCAGCGGATTGGCTTAAGGCCAAAGTGTTTTTTCAACATCTCGGAATGTCGTAAAATGGGACAGGTTTCCGAAGCCGACGAACGACTGGTGAAGATGGGCGTCCAGTTGAGTGAGCAGCAGCTGCAAAGCAGCCGGCAGAAGGAGGAGCGCAGAGCGGGAATCGGCAAGAACGGGGTAGGTCATCAAATGAAACTGGGACATGCTTGAAGTTGTTTTTAAAGGTGAATTGTAGGTAATTTCATGCCATTTTTGGTGCTATAGTTATAGATCGAAAGGATCATTTCAAGCAACTGGATTCCATGCAATGATGGTGTTTGTGTAAGAGATAGATGTCAAGCAACAACAAAATAGTTTTTTCCCTCTCCCCCAGCCAGACATGGAGATAATCAATCGAACTACATGGAAATTATGTTGGGTTACGGGGCTCACGGCCTGCCATATCTCAGGGAAAAAATCAAGTCCAGCATCATGCATTTGTTTGGTAAGCAGAGTATTTTGATCAGTCACTGGGGGCAGCATGAGCTGGAACAACACTACTTTGCTACTAGGAAAAACATGGTTATCCCCCCTGGTTCTGGAATGGAGCAAGGTCACAACGGAAGAATGGGCATTCTATGGAGGTAAGATGGGGTAACTGGGACAACTACATGTCCATGTATTCAATTGTGTGTATAATATTGTGTATATATATATATACATACACCAGAACTGCCGAACTATCCAGCTGGTTGATCTCCAGAGACAATTTTTTTTGTCAACTTGCTTCCAGGAAGAAGATTTGGCTCACTTGCGACAGGACCCGCAGTTCTCACGTGGAAAACACTACACGTACCGGTCTTCCTTCGGGATAACGGTTGGTGCAGACCATTCAAACAAACTTTCGTAAATCGCTCACTTTCAATGGGTTCTGTGCAAGTCTTGATATCAGATCAGAAAAATGACAGGTGTTTTATGGTGTTTTTCCCATTAGTTCCATCCATTTTTGGTGCAGGGCTGCCTCCACCGACCCCAGGAGCTGGAGATCACTCGCGCGGCCCTTACCGCGGAGGCAGAGGATCTTGCCACGTTCAGCGGCTCGGAGGTGCCTGCGCTGCAGGCAGCGCAGAGCCGCTTGCGGCTGACGCAGGAGACGCTGCAGGAGACGCAAAGGACGCTGGAGAGGAGGGATGCCGCACTGAGCCTTGGATGTTTCTTGGGGTTTCATGGGATTTTTATGGGGGATTTCATAGGGGTATAATGGAAAACCATGGAAAACCCATGTCCAATCGAAAATCACTGAGGACTGGGATGGCGCACCAGCAACCGAAATGTTGAAACTAACACATGACTTTGAAATTTAAAGAATGGCTTGGTATGATTATATGATAAGTCTCGTGTAAATTCATTAGCACATTACTTTGATTATTAGCACTGGTATGGTTTAACAATTATATACAATTATAGTATATGCTTTGCTTTATGGGTGTCTCATCAATCAAGCCAGTGACTGTTTGGCTGGGCGCGGACAGAGATGAAGCGCACTTTCTTACAAGAGAAGTTGGCGATAAAAATGGTGAAACCACTATGGAGGAACGGTTTGTTTGGTGCAGATTTCAACCAGTGATCACTTAAAACGTCCCACCCATGAGCCTGGCACCAGCAGCAAACATATGCCACCAAGGAAAGAAGAAGTGAAAGAGTTCCCTGGTGTGCGGAGTTTTGGATGTGGATGTGGCTGATGGCGAAAGGATAGAATATATAGTTGGCTTCGTAGAGAAGCCCGATAATTAATCATTGATAATCAATACAACCACACACACACATACATACATACATACATACATACATACATACATACATACATACATACATACATACATACATACATACATACATACATACATACATACATACATATATACATACATACATACATACATAAATACGTACGTACATACATACATACATACATACAGACACGCACACGCACACGCACATGACATACATACATACATACATACGTACATACATGCAATTACATGCATACATACATACATACATACATACATACATACATACATACATACATGAATACATACATACATACATACATACATACATACATACATACATACATACATAAATACGTATGTACATACATATATACATATATACATACATACATACATGCATGCATGCATGCATGCATACATACATACATACATACATACATACATACATTATAATATATATATATATATGCACGTGATACCTGCGTGTGTGTCCCGTTTCTGCACAAACATGCGCAGCAGGTCCCTCAAGGTCAATGCAGCAGGGTGATTTTTGGTTCGGTGTCCGGTGTTCCTGCGATCCGATCTTATCGGAGCAGCCAGGGACAATCGGAGTTTCCGATAGGATCCAGGGTGCTGCTATATATGGTGTGCCATGGATCCCATCAATATACCTCAGTCATGTTAGCATATATACCAGCACCATGGATCCTATGGGTATATATATATATATATGTATATATATGTTTATTGGAAAAGTACACCACCATCAAATATTAGATGTTAATAGATGTTAGTTATAGTCATCCCCAACTAGATGGAAACGATTGGAAAATAAATCACCATGAAATTAGTAGGGATTTACTTTTCCATCTGGTTGGGGATGACATTGTCGCAAGCCAGCGACACATATCAAGGAGAATCTCATACCCCCAATATCATCCAATATCCTAATCAATACATATCTGGTTGGTGGTTTGGAACATGTTTTATTTGGATTATTTTCCATATATTGGGAATTTCATCATCCCAACTGACGAACTCATATTTTTCAGAGGGGTATAGGTCAACCACCTGCCAGATATCGTAATGGGTCTCACCAGGATCGGCTGGACACTGATAGTGACATTTTTTTGTCGCTAAAACTCCCAAGCGTGTTCCCCTTCTGTATCTGAATCACCGACGATGAGTTTATACGACCCATAAAAATGGTGATGACTTGGGGATATGGTATTGGCTTTACTTTTCTATACATTTCTTATAATTTTAAATGGTATTGGTATAAAGGAATTTCTATATACATTACACTGCTATACGTTTCTTGCGTGATATATTTCAGTGGATTAGTTAAAGGGAAAACCTACAGGAAACCATCAACCATTCTTTTTCCTCTGAAATATGGGGATTTTCCTGTAATTATTTCCCTTAAACCAATCCGTTCATGGTTTTCACGGTGAGGATGGAGTCGCAGCTTGCCACCCTTTCTGCCCGATGTCATCGTGTGGACGAAGCCTGTCGCGTGGCGCAGAAGGCGCAGTTAAGTCGGAATTTGTTGTTTTCCAAAAATGGGGGAAGGAATATATGTATATATGGTGTTATGCATATATACATATATCATATATCACATCTATATAGTTTTATGATGTTTTATGTATATGTATATATACATATATACATATATAACGATATTTATATATGTATCCATAATGATGAGAGAAGCATGCGAAGCCGGGGGTTCTGCGTGTAAGACTAGCACTTGGATCCAAATGCTGTTTAAACGTGGATTCAGGGAGTTATCACTAGAGCACGTGTTTTTCAATCAATTAAACCTGTAGGGATTACCAACCACACTTTTAAGAATGAATATTTGAGGGACATACAAGATCACAAAAAGAATGTCGGGTTTCTGCAAGTAATATGTTCTTACATATTATCTCTGGTAAACGTTTACATAACTATGGAAAATCACCATGCTATTAATGGGAAAATCCACTATTTCAATGGCCATTTTCAATAGCTATGTTAGTCACTACCAGAGGGTACCTGGCCGGCGGGGGCCTGCTCCGCTACAATACGGGCCCCTGTGTACGTTGGTGCAGGGTTGGTGAACATAACTCCAAAAAATCACGGTTGGTAACTACGGTTTATGATAATTATAACTGATAACTATAGTACTCATGGGGTTTTATGATGCAGTATTTCACTAGTATTCACTCCAACATAGCACGGTTTATGATACTTATATATAACTGATAACTACAGTATTCATGGGGTTTTATGATACAGTATTTCACTAGTATTCACTCCAACATAGCACGGTTTATGATACTTATAACTGATAACTATAGTATTCATGGGGTTTTATGATACAGTATTTCACTAGTATTCACTCCAACATAGCACGGTTTATGATACTTAAAACTGATAACTATAGTATTCATGGGGTTTTATGATACAGTATTTCACTAGTATTCACTACAACATAGCATGGTTTATGATACTTATAAATGATAACTATAGTATTCATGGGGTTTTATGATACAGTATTTCACTAGTATTCACTCCAACATAGCACGGTTTATGATACTTATAACTGATAACTACAGTATTCATGGGGTTTTATGATACAGTATTTCACTAGTATTCACTCCAACATAGCACGGTTTATGATACTTAAAACTGATAACTATAGTATTCATGGGGTTTTATGATACAGTATTTCACTAGTATTCACTCCAACATAGCATGGTTTATGATACTTATAAATGATAACTATAGTATTCATGGGGTTTTATGATACAGTATTTCACTAGTATTCACTCCAACATAGCACGGTTTATGATACTTAAAAATGATAACTATAGTATTCATGGGGTTTTATGATACAGTATTTCACTAGTATTCACTCCAACATAGCACGGTTTATGATACTTAAAACTGAGAACTATAGTATTCATGGGGCTCAACTTCTAACCCGGGGTGCCCCGCTTTGTAATTGAGACGGATAAGATTTTTTGGGGGGTCCACATCCTCCTGCCCTCCAATGAATACCATAGAAAACCCATGAACATAATCCACATGTTTGGTGTGTTTCCATATCACTGTGTTAGTTTGCTGGGGAGCAATGAAAAGTAAATATAGGTTATTCGATGGATTGGTTTAAGGAACATCTTCAGGAAACCATAGTCCTTCCCAAACACACTGAGTTCCTCAAGATCTTTCCCTTGAAACATCAGAAATTCTGGGATCGCGATCTGAGCACTAAAAATAGTTCATTTCGTGTTTGCTAAACTGACATAGACCCTGAAAATAGCCAAGTTTGAGTAGAAAGTCATCTTCCAACCCCGATGACTGGCAGGGTCTGGACGGCGCTCTCTGCGCCAGGTGGTGGATCAAAGCCAGGCGCACAGCGTCGAGCGACGTCGCTGTCGCAAGGAAAGGCTGAAGGAGGCGCGGGAGCGATGCGCGATGGAAAATTGACAGTTTGCCATGGTATAATGACATCTGGTAAATTGACAGTTTGCCATGGAAAATGGCATAAAATGGCTATAGAAATAGGTGATTTACCCATTGAACATGGTGATTTTCCAGTTTGTGATGTTAGTTTTGTTTTTTTCCCAGAGGATATCTAGATTCCCTTATGGTTGGATGACACGGGTTTGTCTGAAAATATGATACCTCCTAAATTCATTGGTTAGTCAGTCATTTTCCCCAAAAACGATGGCCACAAAAAGAGGCACACCCCATTTTCAGACAGACCCTCATTCATCATCGTTCATCATTACATATTACCATCTGGTTATTTAACATCGCCATGGAACATCACCTTTTTTAATAGGAAAATCATCTATAAATGGGCCATTTTCCATGGCTATGTTAAATAACCAGGGGGTAATATTCCATATATGGTACCCATCCCACTCGATGAAATACAACACGTTAAAATGGGGAGCTAGTTGGAGCTACGAATTGAGTGGGACCCAACCGAATGATAGTGGCTAAGTTAGCTAAGTTGGTTTAATTCACAAGCGCTTAATGTAACTGGGGTTTATTGTAGTCATAATTATATATAGTATGGCGGCCACCTTGTGTCATTTCAGGGGAAATAGATAGAAGTGGGGTTCAACCGGTTTAACTTTTAAACAAGCCTGATTACAATATCTACTTGATGAACAAGTTACAAGAATTGGGATATTATGTGATTCATGATGTAGGAAACAAAACTTAGGGCTTTGGGCTGGGCCGCCAGCGCCAAAGAGAGACTTCAAGGGCTTCCAGACCTATTGGGGGTCCCATGAGGTCCCTCCGGTGTCATCAAATATGGTTTGCTGGGCAACCCCCCATGTACTTGGATGATTTTTCGCATTCAAACTTCCATTTCTAGGATTCTACGGGATTTCACCATTTCCCACCGGAGAACCATCCCAAGCACTGCCTGACACAGGAGTGCCAAGAGATGGAGCAAATGCAGATGCAGCTGGAAACTGAGCTGGAGGGACAACAACTGGAGGACCTCTGAAAGTGCTACCATCCCAAATCCAAAGGCTGCTGCACAAGTGTAGGAAATCCAGGCTAAATCAAATTCTAATTTGACACCGGCTGCTCACTTGCAGATGGCTTCGGTGTCCTTGTGCAGATAAACACCTCCGTTAGTTCTTAGAGGTCCCACGACGTCCCACGGAAATGAATTGGAGAGAGAAATGAAGCAACTGCCTCAATAAACCATGCTTACACACCAGAGTCCGAGCAGAGCCTTCTGCACCCAATTGTTACTTATATAATCACTCTGACACCGCATCCTTCTCAATGCATGTTGGGAAAATCTGGTGTAATTGGTTGGGTTAAGGCAAATTCCATCTCGGTGTTTCTTACTCCTCTCAGTCTCTCCAAAAGTATTCAGAAAAATATTGTGGCTCAAAATCCAGCATTTTGTCACTTCAGTTCCTAGTTTGTCCTGAAAAAATCTTGGGTAAACACCGCCAATGTTGACAGAAAACTCACATCATTTCATCATGCCCAGTAGAAAAAGCATGATGTCACCCATCAGCATGGTAAACTTTAGGATGTTTTACTATTGCTTAAGACTAAAATCCTAAAGTTTTAATAAATTCAATGAATAACAACTTGGGAATGGTTCTTTATTCATGAAGGTTTTTAAAATTCTGTGGATGGAAGAAATCCTGCATCACCTCGGATGGTTGAAACACTTAATGGGATACACCACCTATCAATTGCAGCAGGGTTTCGCAACCATCCACCGTAGCAAACAACTAACATCTTCCAGGGCATTTCCTGGAATGGAAATAAACCCCTAAATCATCCATTTATAATCATTTATAGATGGATTTCCATGAAATATCATGAAATCAACCCATCCAGCTATTGGGGTATCCCCATTTCTGGAAACCAGGAGCAGCGCCTGGCGCTGCAGCAGCGCGTGCTGCAGCTGCAGCGCTCCCGCGACAATGCGCGGCGGAAGGTCATGGAGCAGCTGCGGGCGAAGGCATAGTCATTGAGTTTTGACATTTTGTTCTGCTGCTAGCTGCCAGGAGTCTGATGATCACAATCTATGCGATAACTGCAGAACCTATCAGAATTGAAAAGGGAACCTGATGGGTCAAAGCCTATGATGAGGAGCCAGATTCGATTTCCAGAGGGTATCACGTGGCGTCAAAAGAATGTTTGATATGAGAATAACCAACAGAAATCACCTGATATTATACCCATTCTGTTTGATCAGTGTCCTATACCCTTTCCTTTAATAAAAACATGGTGGAATGCAATGGACTTGGACGACAGGAGCAAAGCCTGCTGCAAGACGTCAATGCCTTCTGCAGTCGTCACTTGGCAACCTTCACCCTCCAGCAATCAAACGTGGTTGGCTGGGAAATCCCCGAACTAAACAGAGGTTTCAATGGGAAAATCATCTAGAAATGGGAGTTTATTAATTAAGGGGGTACTCCTCCAATAGTCAAAATCTGATACTTAAATGGTACCCTCCCAATTAAACAATCTAGGGGTTTATTAATCCAGGGTTGACATTAATTGTGTCAGCTACTTTGCCGCTGTCAACGGAGTCTCTGGATGTTGGAGGATGACCTCGGACAGCTTCTTTTTTAAAATAGCATGCCATTTGTTTATATCTTTAAGACTATATACTGTATGTATCTTGGAAGACTTCTATATTATATCATAGTATATCTATGCCTCAATCATGTGGCAAACCGCCATAAGCCTACCATCACTGGGAACTTTCCGCAACCCATTTTTATGGTGATCCTTCGTCGGCGCCAGGTGCGGAAGAGTGGCGCCGGCTGCTACAATCGCAGGACCCTGGGAGCCTCATTTTGGATGTCCATATTTATCCATGTTTCATGGGATGGATGAACATGTTTCGCATATACCCGGCCTGGTAAACTAACAAAAAGCTATTGAAAATGGTCATGTCGAAATAGTTGATGACTACCCATTAATTGCATGGGTGGATTTTCCATAGTTATGTTAGTTTACCAGAGGGTAGTTACCATGGTCCTACCACAGATGTAGAATCGTCATGAATGTATGTTGGCTATCTTTTTTGATTCATTCATTATGTTCATTCATGATCAGAATTAGAACAATTAAGGCAAGAAGCGGACAAGTGTTCAGGATATTTCAAAATATCTAGATAGAAGTTGTAATTACTGGAGTTTTTGCTGCATTTTTATGGTGCTGCAGAGGGATTGCGTTGTTAGCTGTTTTGTTGCAAGGTGCAACTGAACTTCATGGGGATACCTGAGAAAATGATAAGTACAAGCGCTAGCGTTAAGTCGTATCAGCTCGTAAAAGTCGTATCGGGAGGCGTGCGCCTGGAAAAAGTTCAATTTGTGTATTGAGTTGAATTTTAAAGCTTATATTTGATCATTCTTTCAAGGGGGCAAACGCTGGTTGCTGCTTGCCTGCTGCTTGCTTGCTGCTTACCTGCTGCTTACCTGATGTGACTTTTCTATATCGCCGCCGTGCCACCTGATGTGACTTAAGCAACGGCGCTCGTAGCATATTTATATATTAAATTCACATGGTTTTTTTTCCGTGGGTACAGATGGGGGTTGCCTTGATCAGGAGTCCGAAGAGGAAATGCTGCCACTTGACGAAATGGTTTCGAAACGCTTGAACGGTTGGTCGATGGCCCGATGGCCTCCACGGATCCGGTGGTTGGTGTTTGATTCATCACTGGGTAACGTTATACCCTCCGGTCATTTTTCACATTGAAGCCATGGCTCAGTCGAAATAGTTGATTTACCCAGCTAGAAAATGGTGATATTCCAGCTCGTTCTGTTAGAAAATTTCAGACTTCAATTTTTGTGGCGGATCCTTTTTTTTAGAGGATGGATCGCTGTAGCTCAGTGCCACCATGGTAGATCAGTCATAAGAATTACAACTAGATGAACACCATAATTTACATATTTATAGCTGGTTGGTGATTTAGAACCATGGAATTTTATATGACTTTCCAGAAACAGTTGGGAATGGAATGTCATCATCCCAACTGATGAAGTCATATTTTTCAGAGGGGTTGAAACCATCAGCCAGATAATATGCATACTTAAAGATAATATATATATATATATATATATAGGTATATATGAATGTATAAATATAAATATATATATATATGCCAGCAAGCCATCTTTGGCTAGCGGTTTCATGCATATTGTATTGCATACGAATTGTCTCGCTTCTGTCTTTTTAGATGGTTACAACAGGAATAACTGGTGGGCCCTTGGCACCCCTTGGATCTCAAACGAAACGTCGACTTGGAAGGTTTCCTCAATCCTAAAAGGACATCCACATCCCCACATCCCAGGCAGCAAGAGCTGAAGAGCCAAGCCGCACGCTTTGCTGAGACTGCTATGCCGCTCTATGCGCAGGCGGGCTGCGAAGCTGCAGGGGTTTGAGTCCATTGTTCTACCTAGTAATCGAACATGGTCTTGGGAAATCACCCATTTGTAGATGTCGTTTCCAAAGGAAAACTAGGAAACCTCAATCTATAGAGGATGCATGGGGATGTTTGCCGTGATTCTTTGGCGGGGATGGGGCAAGCAACTGCATTCCCCCAAGATGACATTGCAGTAATTTGTGCTCAAAAAATCATCAGATCCAACAGAAATCCCAGGGTTCGAAGGGGATAATTATCTACATGATTTTAAATGTCATTTTTTTTTGCTGGCAATTTTCATCATGTTAAGTTAAATGTCCATTGAATCCCATTATGGAAGCCTTGAAACCTCGGTCCATTACCCGATTACCCTATGGATCCATGGCCACTGTCTGAGAAGGTACGGCTAACCCTCCAAATTATAGTAAATTACACCCCAGTCCCACTTCCTAAGAAGATGCTTGGATCCATAGGGACTATAAAAAATTAAACACATCAAACACATATTCCCCATAGATTGGCCAAGTACAATTATCCAGCACTTCCAGGTCCTAAGAAGGTCTTAAGAAGACGGTGCCCGCAGCGCAGCGCTCAGGTCGAGCGCCTTCACTCGCAGCTGGGGCGACAGATGTGCCAATGAAAAATGGGCGACAGAGTGGAGCTGGATGTTCCTAGTGGAGATGCCTGCATTATAATCAGTGTATCACGCCAAATACATATAAGTACATAAATATAAATATAAGTAATATATATATGTATGTATATATAAGTACACACACACATATATATATATATATAAGTATATTTACATAAGTATATATATAAGTATATTTACATACGTATATATATAAGTATATTTACATAAGTATATATATATATATGTATTTGTAATTTTTAAGTACATATAAATATAAGTATATATATATATATATACATATAAGTATATGTATATATATATATGTATATATATTTACATAAGTGTATATATATATAACAATGTAGCTTGTATTAATAACATATGCATATGCATGATACATATAAATGTATGTGCATGTTTGTGCATATATATATATATATATACATAAGTATATATATATATAATCATGTAGCTTGTATTAATAACATATGGATATGCATGATACATATAAATGTATGTGCATGTTATATATATATATAACGTAAATATTGGTAATCAGGGATTGACCCCGAGGCAGGACCTGAGCCTTGGATACACATTAAAAAAACTGAGTTTCCCAATGTATTGGTTGTATTTTCCATGAAAAAAAACATGTCACAGTTGGGGTGGGTTACAAATTCTCAGCCGAACTCCAGATTTACCATGGTTTACCATTGATTTTTTGATGAGAACTTGAAAGATGGATACGTTCGGATTCCATGTCCAGTTCTGTAACTTGCTGGTAAATGTTGGAAAACCCACTGGGAAACATTATATACCCAATACCCAGCGAGCTCAACTGTGCTCAGCCCTGAACCCAGCTGGCTCGTGATCACATGGAAATCTTGTTGGGAGTTCAAGGGCGACATGAGTTGGGTCAACACATGTCAACACGCTTCTTCAGAAGTGTCCTTAAGAACCGCCAAGGATTTTCTCAGGGAGTTATGGCAGACAACTGGAAAGCCTGGTAAACAATTCAGCATGCATCAGTGATACAACCAGTAGACACACCCCAATAGTTTGGCCAAGATTTCACCTCAAAAGTGCTTCCCACGGTAGCAGCTGCCACCATTTGGTGATTTGCCGTGGTACATGGGTTCAAAATAGATGTAAATCAACCAGGAACTGACCAGCCTGGGAGTTTGAACCTTCAACTCATACTATAGTCAAAATAGAGATATCAAGGAGATATCTAAATAAAAATAAAGATATCTCATATGATTGATATTTATTTAATTGCTGAACTCATATTAGTCACAATAATTGCAGTAAAGATATCGCTCATCAAGTCGCCATGGGAAGGTCTCGCTCAAGGTCCAGGCCCTTTGTGATAATTGGATGAGTTCCGTGTGCTTTGGGATGTTGATGATTTTGATGTTCTGGAAATTACGTAAGTACGATAAACATATTGAATATACGGATTTAAATAGATATATATATATATATGGTTTTACATGTTTTTATGTATACACATATACATTCATACATATGTCTATTTATACATTTATTAATCAGCATACAGTACCGTAGTTGTCACATTTTACCTGAGACCCGAGCCGGTTTCAACCAAAGATCATTGTGCAATCCTGGGAGATTCCTGGAGAAAAGCATAGGTTGGGTTTTGCTGTTGCAGCCCCACTCCGCACAGTGCCGCAGCTGTAGTTGTCATGCATCCACAGCCCCACTATCCAACAGTTCAAACCGTTCACCCATCAAAAGTGGTTCATCCTTCTCCTCGATAGTGTCAACCTTGGGCTGGCGGACCCCTGTCCCCAACCTTGGCTGGGTAGTTCAATCCTTAAGATATTTTAACTACAAATGGAAAATAACCAGCCAACCACCAAAAGATGACAATTTCTTGTTGACTATCAAAGACTGACCATGGCAAGGGCTAAATTTTAGGGGAAATACCCAAAACTTCTATGTTTTTTTAAATGGTACAGTATCTCCAGTACTTCTATGTGACTATGTGTCAGCCATCTCGACTTCTTCCAAGGGACCCGCCATAGTTTTGCATCAAAACTAAAACCGTGTCAGGGACCGGCGACGCAGTCCCTCCCGGAGGCGGGCGTGATGGTGTGTTCACATGGTTGAATCACCCACCGGAAACGTTTGGGCAATAGGAAGATAATTATAGATACAAATGTGTTTTTTTCCGTTTTCGCGTTTGATTACTGCAGGGTACTTGTTGTTGTGTCCAAAATGTTGGCGGCTGATCACTCCTGCTCATGGTTTGTTTCATCGACCCAGAAGTTTAAACGAATCATCAATCATTAATCGATCAAATTTCAAATCATGGGGTGTGACCAAAAATTGCGCATTCCAAAATCAAGCAGTTTAGTTTAAGACCACAAATGTCCTCAGCACATTGCCACAAGCCGTTTTAATTGATAAATTCAATATCTACAAAGCAAACCTGTGAAAAGGGTTCATAAAATCATGGTATCCAAGATGATCCAATGTGTTTCAAACAAACCATATATAATCACAATTACAGTAATCGCCGCATCACCAGAATATTACACACTCCTCAATGAATGTTTTGGGTGTGCTGTTTTAAAAGGGAAACACACATTCCATTAGAAAACTCCTAAGTTAAATCCTCTATCATCATGGTTGAATCATCCATTTCTTCACTTCTTAAGATTACCCTCTAATAAACTACCATAACTATGGAAAATCTCTATTTTTCATGGGTAAATCAACTATTTCTATGACCATTTTCCATACTGTAGCAAACTGTTCGTTTACCAGAGGCTACACCATTGCTCCCCCGGGCTCAACATAGGCGTCGTTCGCCCTCTCGGCGTCGGGATCGCAGACGTTCCCCCACGCCACGGAGGCCCATGGTTGACACCAAAAAAAACCTCTGGTTATGTCAAAATAGCTATTGAAAATGGCCATTGATGGTTGATTTACCTATGAAAAATGGTGATTTTCCATCGTTTTTTGTATGTTTACCAGAGGGTAATCACGAATTATAATGATAAGCTAGGGCTTATTCCTGGCGAATATTTGGGAATATTACACGATATTTCAAGTATATAATTATTTTGGGGTTATGATTGGATGATTTTGCAAAAGTCATTGGGGATTCTTGAGCTAAATTGAAGCCATATACACGGCATGGCAGAGCCATAATATCTAACCTTCGCATCTTCATATCTATTGGTTTTACATAACTAATGATCTGGTTTTTCTTTCAATTAGATGCGCTCATAATTAGGGATAGGGACTTGGATTAGTGGCATTTTTTATATGTCTAATTAGGGATTATTTGGGATTTTGCAGGGTTATTTGGGGACTATTGTGGGACTTGATTGATTATACAAGGAAGTTATATGCACTGGCCCCAATTGGGGTTATGAACTAACCCTAATATAGGAATATCTACTAACCAGTCGAATGGGATGGGATGGTGGCATTTATCATGACCCAACTGAAATGTAGAATTGGTCAAGATATGAGTAGCTCAAATCCAAGGAACATGTAATGGCATGCAATATGGCGTGCACACCACGCGCAAGATCAAATGTAAAACCATATATGGGTATCATCAGGTTCATGGACGGATTATCATTTAATTCTGCATGGAAATGGAAATGATACAACTTGATTGAACCCAAATTACGTTCTTCGAGTGATCCCCACCCTGAAACACTTTATATTCTGACATAGTTTCTGACATACCATTTGGAAGTATATATGGCATATTTATTCTGGCATTCTATCTGACATACTTTCTGGCATTCTGACAGTCTTTCTGGCATTCTGACATTCTTTCTGGCATTCTATCTGGCACCTATTCTGACATACTTTCTGGCATTCTATCCGGCATCTATTCTGCCATCTTTTCAGGCATTCATTCTGGCATTCTTTCTGGCATCTATTCTGACATTCATTTTGGCATACTAGCTGGCATCTATTTTGACATTACTTCTGGCATTATCTGACATTCCTCCGGCGCCTGGCTGAGGTCCCGCAGCGCCCACTGAGCTCTGGAGCTCGCGGTTGAGGTCCGGCAGTGCCCACTGAGATCCGGAGCTCGCTGTTGAGATCCGGAGAAGGAAGAAGAAGAAGAAGGAAAAGGAGTAGAATGAGGAAGCAACGCTGATAAAATCTAGAGACCGTCACCTGGCAGGTGTGGAAGACAAATGGCCAAAAACATCCAAGAAACTTTACCCCCTTCGGAACCGATGCGTAAGAAATGCGCGTGTCAAAGTGCTCACTGTCGCATATTTTGCAGCTCATGATTTTTGGGCACAGGGATAATTTACAGTACAGCTTATGGCATGAGTCTCGTTCATGTTCACCATGCGTTACCTACCATTGGGTAATTTAACATGTTGATATGGAAAATCATTCTTTCTGATTCTGATAGCTTACATTCATTCATCTCCCTGAGGTGGCGACGGAGGGAGGCCGAGAAAGAGAGAGAGAGAGAGAGAGAGAGAAAGACACATATAGGTAAAACATAGAAATCAAAAAACAGTAATAAACACATGGGCAATTTTCCATAGCAACCTACTAGGTTGCCAGAATGTTTCCCTAAACCTGTTTTTTTTCACCATTTCCCTATTGAAGATCCATCGCACCAGGCGCAGGCACTTCGGTCGCAACGGGATGTGGATGGTTTGGTTGGTGGAAATCGTTGGTGGCTACCCTCTGATTTCATCAAACATGGCAAGCTGGGACAATCCCCAAACTATAAATGGAGACTTATAGTAATACCACGTAATAGCATCTTATAGCTGGAAAACAAATCATTAATTACACCCACTGGTTAAAACAGCTGTGTATTTTTATAGCTGGAAAAACCATTGAACTCAATGATTGCAAACCATTATGTTTGATTACTGGGGGGTATTTCATTTTTTTCCTGGAGACTGCTTTGATATTGTTTTGAGTTGCCCCTGGGCTAATGGCAGGGGTCCATCCTGTAAAGTGGCTTAGTACCAGTGAACCTA